GGGGGGGGGCGCGGAGCTGGGGAGATGGCTCTGTAGAATAAGCGCTTCCCTCAAGCGCAAGGGCCTGAGTTCAATCCCTGGTTCCTATAAAAAAAAAAAAAAAAAAAAGAGAGATAGGAGAGAAGGTAATTCATCAAGAGGATAATGTTTAACCAAACTCACTTTCACCCCTACCAATCGTACACCCAATTCCACAATCTTAATACAGAAAGACCCATTTTGTTGCATTTCCCCATTCTTGTTTTTAAAACAGATAAATCCCAGCCCTATAAATGCCTTGTACTGAATTTTTACATTTGAATTAAAGATTTATGTTTAACAATAACAAAGAGTACAATGTTGCTGTCTGATTCAAGAAATAAACTTTAGTGTTCTATGAAAAGTAGGGTGAATATAAGTAACACATTACTATCTCAAACTAGCCAGAAGACCAAATACATTTACACAAAATTAAAAATTAACATGCTAATTACCTATGAATCAAAACATCACATTTAATTTCATAAATATGTATAAATATGTGTCAAAACAAAAAGAACCAGGTACTTGAGAATGCACTTAACCAAGAAGGCAAAAGGTTTGTATACAAAAACTATACAAAATGGCTTAAATGAACTAAAGCTATAAATAAATGAAAAGGTATTTAATATTTACAAACTTGCAGACAATAGTCTTAAAATGTCAATACTATTCCAAGTGATCTACAAATAAATCCAATTCCTGTTAAATTCCCTATACCATTTCTTGCATAAATAGAAAAATTTATCCTAAAATTGTAGGACTCTTAGGAGACCCTAAACAACCAATCTCAAAAAACAAGATCAAAGTTTAAAATTACACATTCTAATTTCAAACTTATTATAAACCTATAGTAACCAAAATAATGTAGTGTTGGCATTAGGACAGATACAGAGATTAATGAACTAAAACAAAAAACCCAGGAACTGAACTTTCATATATTCAGTGAATTGATTTTTGACGAGGATCTTTGCCAAGGTCATTCAATGGAGGAAAAGACAGTCTTTTCAAAAATGATGCTGGAAAATTCAAAATAATGAAGTTAGACACTATATACAAAAAATTAAACTCAAAACGGATTAAAAGTCTAAACGTAAGAATTACAAACTATAAAATTCTTAAAAGAAAACATAGGGGAAAAGTTATCAGTATATTTGATTTGGCAATGATTTCTTGGATATGAAATCCAAAGCACAAGGAACAAAAGAAATAATCGATAACCAGACCTCATAGTTAAAAAATTCAGTACTGGGACTAAACCCTAGGTTCTTAGAACTGAGCTAGATCCCCAGCCCATTTTTTTT